GAGAAATGGGAAACCTCCGTGGTTTCATTACCCACACTCATTCTTTAATTTATCGTTTATTGAGAAAAAATTATCTAAAACCGTTTGGTACTTTTTTTCTAAATAAATATATTGAAATAATTAAGCTATAGCTTAATTATAATGATAATTAAATAGAGGTAGACTCTTTTTTAACAGTAAATACTTGGTGAATACATTTTTTAGCACGATTGCCTTCGTGGTTAATTTTAAGAGCAAGTTTTAGCGAAATTTAATTATGAAAAATTTCAAGTGACTACTGGTATAAAAAATTTAATTTATTTAATTGTACAGTGAATTTTTGCATTCCACTATTTTAAGAATAAATATTTGAACGAAAGCTGAACATTAATTTTACAAACATGCATTAATAATCTTTATTTACATTTTTTTTATTACACCATCCTATTTTACAGTTTACAGATTATTTTATTAAATAAATAAATTAATTTGGATTTAATTCATGGAAAGTAGATACAATCTTTATTCTGAGGAAATTTACGAAAGATTAACTAAAAATGATTTACTACTTCTTATCTTACCTAACTTTCATATATTGTTAATTTTAATGAATCCTTTGTCTAAAAATGAAATATCATAGTTACATCTTCCAGCAATAATAATAATAAATCAAAGATAAAAGCAAAGACACTTAGAGCAATGTTGCTCCAAATTGTACCCTCCCCCCTCTGCCTCATTGCTCCTATCTTTATACATTCATATAATATTTTTTCGATAGTGCGAATGTACTTCGTATAATAAATTCTATTAATCACTGCTGAAACAAATCATGTTCTGATGAAATTGAATTGAAAATGAAATCGTGATGTTCAAAACATATAAAAAATATGTTAAAAAATCGTTTTTACCCCCAACATGTATATAAGAGAACTAGGGGTAAAATGGAACATCTCGAAAAAATTTAAATCAACAAATTAAGCTTTTTATTAACCAATGTTAATAATTTTTAATGCAGTAATAAATTAAAAAATTGATAAACAAAAAGTGCAATAAAGGTTTTTAAACTTATTTTGATAAATTAGAACATTGTCTCGAGCATTTCATTTTACTCACACTTTCCCTATATTCTTACTCAGGAAGATCATTTATAATCATACTCTATTTTCAAAGGAATTGAACGTGACTGAGTAATACTATATAATTACCTAATTTTCTCCAACTTACAAATAAAAATACTTTTTACTGAAAAAATTATTTTTCAAAATTAATTCATGACTGAATAATTATTTTTAACTTTGCCTTCTATTTGCTTACTATAAATACCCACAAAAAACTTTTTCAGTGTGATATAATAAGAAATAAATATATAATTTACTTCTCTCAATATTTCTTCCTATTCATAAAAAGTAATTTTCGCAGAATCAAATCAAGGAAAATGTAATAACTGATCTAACATGATACATCTCACGTTCTGTGATAGAGATATGATTATAGAAGGTCTCCTCCGATTTTCATCAAGCCATATACTTCTCAACTAGTTCAATAGTTTACATAGTCAATTCAAACAGACTCGACTCTATATCTGCCATTTATCACTCTCTTATTATACATCACGTCTCGTTTCCAAACATCAATAGTTGATGTAACAATAGTTGTCGTTGACAAAGAAACTAGTTCAATAAACAGACGGCACAAAATAGATTATTAAAATCTATCAAACAAACAAAAATTATTTAATTATTAAAACAAATTTTGCGAGCATTATCTTTAGAATATTTCAATTCATCTGAGCAAAAATTTTCATCCTCTGATATTTTATATTTGGAATGAAAACCATTAGTGCGGATAAATCTCCCGACGGAACGTAATCAAATACGTAACGCATCAATGCACAAATTAAAGATCTTATACTTTACGACCGTAACGAAAGTCAGCGGAAATTGTAATATTGGAAATAGGAATTATACGTTTAATAAATAACATCAAGTCAAAAGCAAAAGGGAAACAGTAAAAAAGAACCTGGGTAAGTATAAAATTTAAAATTGCATTTAAAATATAATTGTAGTTATTTACAAATATTTCATTATGACATGCTCATAAAACTAAATATATTTCCATCGAGATAAAGAATTCTTTAGAATATTTTCTTCTGTAAAATGTTGTTAATATAAATGAAAATATCTCCATTTAGAATGTTTAAATTGAAAAAACAAATTTTCAAGCAATCACATAAAACTTGACTTTGTACCAATGATTCTTTGAGCATTTACGACAGAGTTAATAATCCCCGAGTATATTTGTATAGTTGATAAAAGTACATAACTAAAATGCAGGAAAAAAAGGCACAAAAACTCAAGAAAAAGTTTAAAAGGAATGGATTTTATGTTAAAATTGTTATGCGTGGTGGGAAATCTAGCTAAAATGTGTTTTCTCCATCTTTCATACTTTAATAAATTTCTTCTGGCTCACAAACTCTCTGGCACTTTTGACACTCAGTCTAACGTCCTCTCATTATCCAGGTGCAACCCCTGAGCCTTCCAATCTCGTTGAAATCTCCTGACCTTTCTCCTTTCATTTCTCGCTCAGATCTCTTCCGCTATAGTAATATTAAAATTGATGGAAAGACTGGGCGCGAGATCGTTAAGGGTGCACTCTAGCCTTTGATAGAGGGAACGAGAACACAAGTAAAAGTGGAAGTAGAAGAGAGCACACTGTACTTCCGTTTTCTGCTTACCATGCGGTTTTTCACTGCTACAGACGCTTGGTAAAGCCTAGTAATGTTTTCAGTTATATCTTCACGCTCGAAGAAACAAAACGAATCTCATCCGTACTTTCTGTGGTGTACAATAGCTCCAGATGCTCTAGTATTGTTAAACATTTCATGCGTGATAAAAAAAATGTAAAATATATCCTTCTTACAAGGATGCTTCGTTTACACATGAAAAATAACGCTTTTCAAGTTAAGACTAATTTTCAAATATGTATTATGTGCTTGATATCAATGAAGAAATTCTTTTTTAAATACGTGAAAAATTATTTATTCACTCTGAAAAAAAACAGTGTAAGTAGCACTGAAATACTTTTATGTCAACACAATAATTAATTAACAACATTTCTTTTAATCCATTCACTACAAATCTAAGAAAATGCAAAAGTTTCGTAATCAAATGCTCAAAGTGTTTAATAATAAAACACTTTAGTGTTTACAATGTTGAACACCATAAACAAGCTATAGAATTTTGGTGAACGCCAATAAACGTTTAAAATTCGTCTACATAATTACTATAGTTTGTTTATGGCGTCTTACATTGTAAACACTTAATGTGTTTAATTTATGAACACCACAATTTGCAGTGTTTACTATACTTTTTGCTTTAGGACGACTGGTACTTTATTACTGTACAAATCTATTTTCTATCAATGAGAATATTTATTCTTCCCACTGTAATATATACCAGTGCGAAATAGAATACCGTAGCCCGGTTCAAACTGTTATTCTTCGATAAAAAAGTTATCATCATGAGGAATAAATATTAAAGCCTTCAGATCCTGAATCAAATTTTTTTTGCCAGCCGTTCGTTGGATAATAAAGTAATAATAGGAGGATTCGGTGAATTATGTATGTTGAAAGGAATGTTTGAGAAGGATGAATTAATTGAATGTTTAATAAAATAATTATGGTAAAATACTTAAATACCTGGTAAAATACAGAAGAAAAAATTAGGTTTTTTATAAGAAGATTAAAATCAATTTGAATCCATTGTCACCGAAGATATTTCAACCACAAACGTTTCATCTCGCATGGATTTAGAACGACTGATGAATTTTAATTGAATGAGTATTGTTAATTATTATTTATAATGAGAAGTAGGTCGAATGAGATTCTAAAATACTATTGCTCATGACTCCATTAGAGCTAATGATTTGGAAAATTGAAAAGACTCAACGAATTGGAAGAACTAATTTAATAAAAACTGTTTAATAATAACAAAAAGGAATAAACATAAATTTTGGCTTAATTAGAACTGTTTGTGGTACATGTTTGAAAATTATTGCATTGACTTTCAAATACAAATTTTTAAGTATTTCAAAAAATATTTTTTATTTCATGTTTACGAGCTTTTGATGAAATGTGACGATTTTTCCGTTTTTTAAAATTAATACCTTTTATTATAGGCAAAAATGTATCATTCTCGTAGAATTGATATGACGGATTATTTGTATAATTAATTTTTTGATATCAAAACTGTGCAATTCATGGTTAAAAATCTTATTATTTCAAAAACAAGAATTTTTAATCATAAAAATTGAAATTCAAAATAAAAAAAAAAACAAATAAAAAGCTTCAAAAGAGTAAAACTTGTGCATAGTTTTTTCGAAGCAATCAACCATTTATAAGTTTATTTCATTTGTTTTGTCTTTGTCTTGATAGAAAAAAAATTCTTCTCTGTGTGAAAATAAATTATTTTCTCTCATCTTATACAAAACAAAAAGCAAAAAAAAATCTTGATCTACCGTTTGTTCACAATTCAAGCGTGATTTATAGATCTCTTTTTTCCTCGTCTGCTGATTAAAGAAGTTGTCCGACTTTCCTTGCTCACCTCACGGCATTTCTACTGTGCATTCCTCCTGGTTGACTACTTGTAGTAGAAAATTCTGTGTGATCAGACTTTGGTCTAGAGCACGATGAGCTTAAAGCAGAAATATCAAAGGAGCCGTAATACTATCGATTCTTCAACATGAATTATATCCATATTTTAAAAAAAGACGAATCGTACCAGAAGCCCAAATGAATCTAAGCAATTTACAGTAGTCTCATGAGAGAATTGCATGACTCAACTCGCAATTCACCAACGTAAAAGTATGGTTTCGAAATAAATCTCGATAAAAGCTCTTTCCGTGTAGATAAACTATCCCCCAATATAACGGGTTTAAATTGCACAACGCTTGTAAAATGATTCAAATAAAAAAATAAAAACATCAGGCTATCATAAAAATAACTGAATTTCATTGCTACTAACCTTGGCTGCAATTATTTCCTCCATCCGTTTTCCACTCAGTTTCAACCAACATATGTGGTCTTGGCATTGCCCGTAGTTATCACCAACTTCCTTTGAATGCTGGTGTATTTATTTGTTCGCAACTTATTTAGTTATTGCAAAGGACACTCGTCTAATGCACGAAACCTAACTCTGATGTATACATAAATTACTAACACATTGCCTGCTCACGACACATGACACTTCAACGCCGTACATCCTCTCATTGAAATGCTCGACCACATAGACAACACGTGGCTTTGTATGGCCGGGGGATCGTTCGATTATTGTCGCTCCAATAAACAATTTCACTCTTGATCCATCACAGATATTTGCCCACCAACTTTCTGATCCGCATCATCGTTAGCTTCTTATAAGGAAACCAGACTCAATTATTCTATCAATTCTTAGATGTTTACAATCTATTCATTTGATGATGATTTTTCAATAAAAAATAACAATTAACGTAATTTATCATTTCTTGATATCAACAAGGAAACTTGTAACTGAAGGAGTAAAAACTGATAGAAGAACATGATGATGATGCTCGTGAGAAAGTATCAAGTCAAAACCGAAAGACGATGTTGTCAGCCGCACGGTCTACGATAACCTGTCGTGCGGAGCTTGCAACACGGCCACAAAAGCCCCGTGCGATGCGCGCGGATACGTTAACGACGGCGCCCAATGAACTTTGAGTGTGCGCATTATTTCACTTTACTTTGCCCTCCACACTCTACGGAGCTTTCCGAGACTGACCGAGAGGGTTGGAGCATTCTCTGACGCCCGGTGTATTGAGGTCAGAAAGTTCACTGTGGATTACTGGACCACACAATCAAGAAATATCACTCTGAGCAATTACCTTGCCTAGAGGACATCAACGAATTACTTATTAATATTGACGAGATGTTGCTGGAATATTTCAGAACCTGGAACGAAGATTTATTCCGAGCTTTCATGTCATGGGTAAAAATAATTATGAATTGTTTTAAATTTTACGACTCTTGAGAATAAACGAGCAGACTTCTGAAGAAGGTGGAGTAATTATAAACACTTGGGGAAAGATTACAATTAAATGAAGGAGAAATGAATTATGGGTTTATTTATTATTTTTAATGATATACTGAAGTCCTAAGTTTTTGTTTAGTTTACTATGAAATGAGACAGTAAAAATGGGTTTGATGTAAATAGGCTATAAATAAATTATAAATATTTATACTTTTTAAATTTTGCGAAAAGAAGCAGAAAAGTATCTGGATTATTTATGATGACTTTAAAGTAATCATACTTTTGTGTATTATTTTTTTGCATGTTTTTAGAAACATTTGTTTACCAGATAATTAAGTTCATCAGCTATAAATAACTGTGATTAGTTATTGTCGGAGTTTGAATTGAAAATTTTTTTTAATTAAATAATATTAACATCGTTGTAATTTAGTTGAAAAGATCAATAGCTGTAATTTATTCATTCATTAAAGTAATTTAATCATTAAGTGGATTACAAGAAACTCCTTTTAAGACATCAATAAATCCAAGGATATTTATTTTCTCAGATTATTTTAGCTTTCTATTTGAATTTATTGTAGAAAAATTCTATTTTAAATTCAAAGATTTATAAAAGAATAATTTAATGTAAAAAACTGTCATAGATATTCACATATAATTTTCTTTCATTCAGAAAATTAAAAAAAAATAGGGTAATATGGCCATATCCGGTAATTATGCTTTCTATTCTAATTTTATTTAGCTTTAAATACTCCAATTTCTGAATTAAATAAATGCATCATGCAAATGAATTCTTCATTTTTACAGTGAAAATTCACAATTTCAAAAACATATTAAAATAACACACTTAAAGTGTGTTCAACCTAAAATGTTCTTAAACGAACTAGAAATATTTTGTCGACACTTTTTACACATTTTAAGAAGTGTCTGCGAAAACAACACACTTACACTGTAAATCCAAGGTGCGTTACAATAAACTTATCAACACGTGTTCAATGTTGAACTGTGTAAACAAACTACAGATTTTAACACGCCTTGAAGTGTGTTAGAAATGAGTACAAAGTTCTATAGTTTGTATATAAGAATTAAACATTGAACAGGCTTAAAGTGTGTTAAAATAACACACTTTTGATTTACAGTGTAGATTTGTGTATATGGAAATTAGATAGAAAACAGACTTGATGTGCGTTATCTTCGTTTACATTGATGTTCATAGTGAAGAACAATGAATAAATCTTTTGTCAAAATTAGCTTGAAATCATTTTTTGCACTTTTTGTTTATTAATTTTCCGATTTATTTGTGTATTCTTTTTGAACCTTAGTTTATTTATTTATTGTAATTAATTACATAGGCCCAACAGCATAAGCCAACCTAAGACAGACAACACTAGTAGTCAATAAATTAACAAAATAATTTTCTAAGCAATAAAATGCAATAATATTAAATCGAAAAAATCAAATTTCCTTTTGCCAGCAAAATTCAATTTGAAATAATTTTTTCCACCGGGGGTCTTTTCAGTAGGATTTTCTCCTAATGGGATTTTTCCCACAGGATTTTTACAATGGAATTTTTTCTGGTAAGCCATTCTAATTTTAACCCCTTTTCAATATTGATTCTTACGCAAAATAGCTATAAACGATTCGTATGTAAAAAAAGCTTTTAGAAATAATTTCAATAGTTGAGAAGCATATACCACTTAAGTTACAGGTGTTTTAGAGCTTTTTATATAATTGGAGAACTCAAAAGTATATTTACATATGTAAATATATGGTGGGGCATACAACATAATTACTTTAATCGGATTTAGCATGCTGGGACAGAAGTTGTGAGTTTAAAACGTTCCTCATTGTTAAAGGTAGGTAAAAGGGAGGCAGAGAACAATTACGAGTGGACGTTTCGGACGATATCTACGACGTAACAGATAACAGCAACGCAATCGCTGTCGTTACTAAATTGTGCACGTACACCAGACGTAGAAAACGAGCAATTAAATTTGCGTTGCGTAAACAATTCAATGCTTTAATATAACTGAAAATTCGCAGATTTTCTTCTTGGATCTACAAGTCATCTTACATATCTTTTACTATTTTTTATTTATTTTTTTTCTACATTATATAATGAATAAAATCACTTTTCTAACCTAAAAGTTTAAAATAAATTGGATTTATATAATCCGAGATTTTGTACATTTTTTTTCATAAATTTCTTATTTAAGAAGTTCGTAACTTAGTTTTTAAATATCGTGATTTTCTGAGAGAAAATAATACTTTATAGATAAAGCCTTCCATAGAAAGAAGAAGGCGTCTTGCGATGTAGAGGTTTTTTTTATAACATGAAATAATATAAGATTCGAAAATTAGAAAATTATAATTTTACTAGAACTAATTTTATGATAAATTAGGCAACTAATTTTTTTTCCATGAAGAAAGTAATCCAGTCGTGACAGCATAATTTTTTCAATAATATAAGAAACGAAAAATCATTTTTGCTATCACTTGATCCAAAGTTTGTATTGAGCAGCCCAATTATAATAACAACTGTGTATATATTTTTGAAGTTGTCAATACAATTGATCAGCAAGAATATGTAATAAAAGACTGGATTTGATGATATAATATTTCTTGGTTGTTATTTATTTTTTACAAACACAGTGAATTTTGTTGACAGAGTCACTGAATTTTTGTTCGGTAAAATTTACTGGGGAATACAATAAAAATTCATACGGTAACCCAGTAAAATTTTTACAGCCAAAAAATATTTTTTTCGTTATACCTACGAGGAAAGTTTACTTGTCCATTAAAGAGGGGTTGAACTTTCTATGCGAGTGTGACGAAAAATCATATTCAACCCTAAGTATAACAATTAGACTAGCTTATACCACGTCTTCACTACCCTCACCTTTAGCTCGGGTTGTAATTTTACACTACTTTCCCTCCCTAGGTGTGAAATGTACTATTACCTAAAAATTTTTACTGAGTTGTCTTGTAAATTTTACTACGTGCACGAATATGGTCCTGCATTACTAGAGTGTCCCAGTACAATTTCCTGGGTCGCTTAGTAAAATCTAATGAAAATTTTCTCAGCGTATACAACTGGACTTTTTGATACCATCACTAAACAGAAGCCAGGTGCTTCTTTTATGTTGTGGTAATGATTTATCCAGTTCAAATTACTGGAAAAAATTTACGAACATAGAAAAAAAAAGTTTTTTCTACTTTCAGATAAATAAATTTCTCTGTAAAAATTACAAAAGTTTTATTTTACATTTAAAACATTTAGTTTACACGAAAAACGAACAAAAGTTTTTTTAGTAAATAAAAAGCCCAATATTTTTTATTAAATTCAAGTTGAAATTTTTTTCATCAAATAAAATATACAACAAATTTTCTCGAAACTTCTATTGCAAGCGAGATTGTCATCTAGTGCACAGCATGAACAAATTCATCAAAAGAGCTGCCAGTTGCTCAATATTTTGAACTGAGGCATATCACCCCATTTTATCCTATTCAATCATCCGGATGCTTGAAACGTTTATTCTAGATCGCATAAATATCAAAATATTTCTGAACATGGGAAAGTAATTTAAAAAAATTCAATTAATTTCCTACAGGATCTTCGAGAGTGTACCTGGAAAAAAACTCGTTGGAAAAACAATTGCCAGAATCCATGATTCAAACATTTCCAATTTTATGACAAAAGTCAATTGACATAAAGTAAATTTTCCACTTATTCGCCTCCAATAATGGCCACCAAACAAAGCAATATTTCATTAGAAAACTATTTGTCAAATAAAAGTTTATCGAGAATCAAGCAATTATTGGAACAGGTGCATTCAACTTTAATGATAGTGTAGGATATAAAAATTTGGTTTGGTATTAAATGTAGTTGAATCAGCTGTGCGATGTATACAAATCGGAAGTCATTTTCGTTAGTAGAGTTTTAAAACAAGTGTGGGAGTGTATGTGACAATGTAATTGTATGGCCAAAATGTCACTATCGGCTGGCACACAGGCTATTTGTTATGCAACAGCTTGAAGTATTTTCAACAATTTGATACCATTTGTCACTCTATAGTGATCTGTTTATTCAATTTAGGCCAACCTTTATACACTCAAAGTCTCGCCCTCGTTATAACTACTGTTATTTTTATCCTCCCAACTATCAACAGCAATTAAACTCTAATAAATCGTTTCAACTTTGTTCCTCAATAAATTTAATATATTAATTAATTGTAGACAAATGACTTCTCACTTTTGGATTTTTCATACCAAGCTCATGAAACTTAAACACAACTATGAGTCAGCATCCGCAGAATCTGTTGTTAACTTTCTTGCAGGTACACGAGTGGAAGATATTAGCAAAAGGGGAAAAAATTAAAGCAAGAGTGGAGTACTGTGTAAGTGAACTTGAATAAAATCTGATAAAAGATTGCATTGATAAAAAGAAAGATTCGAGAAACGCTATTTTCTACAGCATAATAGCACATCTAATCTTTGTTTCTCACAAAATCCTTACTTCGGTATAAGCTGCTTGTGTTCATTGTTTGCATCATGCTCTATTGTGATGAATGTTGCTAACTATTGGTTATTTCTTTGCTTTATCGTCGGATCGAGGAATCAGAATTACGTTGAGCAAAAAGACATTTTTGTCTGTGAATAAATATAATAATGAGATTCACAAGTTGTAAGTTGTTAGATTTATTTTCTTTAGAGATAAAATAATGTTGATAATTCGTAATGTTAAATTATAAGCTGAAAAGTTTATTCTAGTGAATAATGATAAATTGTTACAATATTTTAGACAGTTGTTTAATTCATAAAAGCATTGTGCTTGGTTTCATTTCAATTATTAATTCATTAAAATACAATTAATCATCAGCATGAACAGAAAGAGAGAGAAAGTTCAGACATTGAAGTAAAAGTTGCTTAAAGCTTTAGAGAAGTGCATAAAAATATTTTTTCTATGGAGGATAAATGGATGTAAATAGTTTTTGTTACGTTTGTTAAAACTTGGAAATATTGAGAAAGAAAACTACCATTAAACTTAGAATAAGTATGTCTTAATTATCTGTAATTTTCCTTTGCTCACATTTAAGTATAAACTAGTAGCTTATATCTTCAATTAAAAAATTAAGATGAAATTTGATGAAATAAAACTCACATAAATATCAAGATGGTTTATTATTTCAACAAGTTTTTACATGAAATATTCCCATAATTAATTAACTAATAAAATCAAAAATTGATTAATTCATTAATTAATTAATTTTTGATTACGTAATTAAAAACAGAATGAAACAAGGAATTACAATTTTCCATTAACGAATATTGTTTTCAAAAGTAATATTTTCTCTGGTATATGAAATTTGAAAGCTATCTATTTGCAGATTATCATTTGGAATTAATTTTGTAGATGGTATAGTACACAGCATTATGTTTAGAGAATAGAGAGAAAAAGCGAGAGTATAATAATAGTACTTTGCCGAAGGATAGCTACGGTGACAAGCCAAATGTGCAAAGTTTTCCTCTAGTTGCAATCGCACATAGAAACAGGCTTGGAGGAAGTTTCTGAGCGAGGATGTTGTTACATGATTCTGTGCAACTGGGACAGACTTGAGCAAAAACCAAAGAAGGGTATCTAATGTGAATTGTTGGAGAAAACTTCTGGCTCAATTAAACCTCTAAACATTTTATAAAAGCTCATAAAATAAAACTCTTCAATAGAAACTATTCTCTTTTAACAAATAGCATGAATAAAAAGAGTATCCTAAATAACTAGAATTCCTTGTCAAAGGACATCAGTTTCTGCCTTTTATCTACTATTCAATCAAGTGATTAACATCAAGCTCGTTCGTCCACGAGTTCCATTGACTTTGCGAAAAAGAGTTGAAAAAAAGTCATAGAAACTTTTGCTGTCACGAGTCCAAGTTCGAATAACGTCAGGACTTGGTTGCAAACGACTGGCATGTACTAGTAGGGTTAATGAATCTCTACTACACGCTGAGGATTGCTAATCAACTCTCTCTCGGACAGCTGAGTCATACACTCTTGTTTGATTACTTATACTCCTCTCGATTTTGAATAAATAACCACGAATAACATAAAAGTTAAAGCTTTATAAAACTTTACAAAATAGAACATTGATGATTTGAATCATTAATACACCTCATTCATTATTACTTCGTACTTTTAGCTCATTTTTACTTCAATTATAAAATATGTACATACGTTCATTTAAATACTTTAATGAATAAATATAATTAATTAAAATAATAAAAACTTCTCTCTGCTTCATATTATATCTACGTGTAAGAAAAATGTTGTCATCATCCCTCTTCTAATTATTGTGATAATATTATACATTCAATGACAGGATTAGCCTAAAAGTCTTACACATTTATTCAAAAATGTTAAATAAAAAAAAAGATTGATCAATATTTTTTTAGTCAAAACTTTTTGTCAATGCATCAAATATTCTTGAAAACTCGTCCCTGCTTAAGCTGGATTTTAGTCATTCTTCTTCTTTGTTAATTATTTCTCTAGAACTAAGAATATTAATAAATATTAAATGTATTTTCAAAATATCTTCTGAAATAAAAGAATGAAAATACGAGATCTATTGGCACAAAAAACTTCCAGCATATGTCAGATAAAATATCACATTCAATTTCGATTAAAATCCTAAAGTAAAATCTAGTTTTCATCAACATCAGGATTATTGATAAGGAAGAAAGATTTTAAAGTTTCCATTTTAAAAATTATCTCACAGGAAAATTTATTATATCATTACATATCAGAAGTTTCAATATAAAGATATAAAAGAAGAATGAGAATAAAATGCATTGGTTATATTCTTCCTCCATTTATCCATAGGTACATATATTGTCACGATCAATAAATAATCGTACAATGGTAGAAATTTTCAAATAATATTTATAATTTAAACTATAAAATGGCTTAGCGAGAAAATACTGTCTGAATAATTTAGATTTTTTTTTCAACACTGACGAAAATGAGTGCCGACAATTTTATTCAAACGATAAAAGCATCGAGTTCATTTTTATCATATTCTTTTGAATATATACCCAGACACTATCGTGGTGATAGGGTATCGCGATAGATAGTCATGTTGGAGGTTTAATCTTTACGAGAATCCAGTGTGGCAGATCGAAATATATATATGTGTATATCATGACGTTAAATCCAAAATAACGACTCTGGCAATTGCCAAAGAGTACAGATAGAGAGACGATAGAGTAGATAAAAAAGTAATTCAAAGAGGAAAACGTAAGAAAAAATATTATGTTGTAATTAATAAAATCAATTACATTTGATATTTTGATGATAGTTTTATAAAAAGAATATTGGTCTTTTAAAGATCAAAGTTTCTACAATCAAACCTAAATTGAAGTGAATAGAAAATACAACTTGTAGTCCGAGATTTTGATCTCTATGTTGTTGGACACTCCATAGAGAGACAGTATCCTTTTATTGACTGAATGCTGATGAAAGCTTGTAAACATGTTGAAGCTTTTCGAGTTGCACTTTCATGTGATTGAATGGTAAATTCTTTGCAAAGTGTTGGAGATTAGCAAAGGGAACTGATGATAGATATCTCTAGATAAAGTTACAGTGGAATTTAATCCAAAAAATGATGGAAATATTTACTTAAACTACATTAAATGAGATAACATGCTTCCTTTGATTGTTGTGAAAAACTTGGTTTGAAATGGATGAACATTTTAAACTAGATGTTTATTGCTGAAATTGGTGAGAATAGATAAAGGTAAAAAAAGAACTGGAATAGACTCTATTAAATAAATCCACTCATTTTTACATTTAAAATACTTGATCATTTAACTTTTCTAATTAAAGTAAACACCTGAACTTTTAGTTCATCCATACCCACCAACAAACATTGGAGATAATTGAACATTCAGTATATAATACCCAGAATATTGTACCAATGTTCTAATGATGCGGAAATGAAGTAAATTGTCAAGTAGAAAATTACCATAATCCACATATTCCAACTTTATTGTAGGATTTGTTTTTTAGCCAGATCAAGTTAAAGAATGGGAATACTACAACTTTCACCTAAACAAGTAAAATTAGAAACTGTAACTTGATCTCAGGTTTTGGTATTCTTATCGTGCATCAAATAGTTAAACAATTTCGTTAAAAATAAGAGATGAAGAAGAATGAATTTTATTAATCTTTTTGGTATCAGTCTGCATTTTTTTCTGAGAAAGTTTCCGAAGAACTACAGCCATCTTTGGAGAACAAGTTAACCAGTTTTTGTTGCAGGAAGCTTCGTCGCATTTTCATCCTTGATTACAATGTTTGCCACTCTTGTGGCTTCCCCAGCTGTTTCAGTACAAGAACCCTAAGCCTCCGATGTGCTTTTCTCATCGTCGTGCTTAACTTTCCACATTCCTTATTTTAATGTTTTGTAAATAAAGGCTATGCCACCATAAATGAAAAAAAAATACTTCTCATATTAGTAAATACTTTCTGAATTTTCATGAAACTGGGATAGTTATGTTCCATATAAACTTGGTCGAAAAATAATATTACGACTAGTAAATCAAAGAAAAACGATGAAAATTATAAAAGCTGCTAAAAGAAATACTTATAATTTTGATATTAATGAAGAATTCAGAATATAATTTCTCATTTTATGTCTTGCAACTTGTTTTATCTTTTGCATTTGAGATGAACTTGATGGTATATTTTTGTGACATCAGGTTCATTTTGTCTCTTATTAATTTTCAGTTACCACCAAGTTGTAATTCAATTTCTTACTCGGCATTATGTTGCAAGCTGTGTCTTCCTTTACTACAATTCACCTGAGTTAAAAACAATCTTAAATTCAAATTGAAGCTTAAGAAAGTTTTTTTTTTATTTTTTGTTATTACGAGCATCACAACTGGCAAACAACATATTTTCATTTTAATTCAATACACAGATTTTAAATTATACAATTTTGTGTAGATTAAAATAAACTCCAATATTTGTACAGTGTAATTCAAAATATCAATAGTTTATTATTAGCTAAAGAAAATTCTTTAATCAATCAATACTCTTCCAAACATTAAAGTGATTAAAAATATATTCAACTATTCTATTATCCAAATTTTTAAGTGGTAAAATCATAATTATTCTTACAAGCACAATAGCTTTTCTTTGTTCTTAATTCAGACTTCTTCTCAGAGATGTCTCAAAACTTCAATCTTTATTAGTAACTCTTTTACTGTAACTTCTATCAGCGCTTTTAAATGACATACAAACAAACAATTTTTTAATATTATAATAATATTTGTTCACCTTTAAACATTTTATTGTATCTTTATTCATCTATTATTACAATACTTGATAATCATTAGAGTTTTTTATGATTGTTATATAGTTAAAATGATATACATGTACATATATTTTTTATATTATTGATTTTACAGACTAATGTGGTAAGAAAATAACTTATTTACATGAGTAATATTTACATAAAGGCTAATTAATAAAATTTAACAAAAAATGATATGTATGATTTAGTGTTTAAAATACCACAAATAAATAACAGTTCAAATTATTTCAGTATTTTTTCACCACATTTAATTTGCTCGAATAACTACGGGTTCTGTTTCCTGCGGTATTTCCAAAGGATCAATATTCACAGATGAGATGACTGCTTTCAATATCGTGGTGGTCGGTTCAAGAACCTGTAATAAAAATAAAACTAACTCTAGTAATTTCAATACCACAATTAAAAATTTCTTAAAGCTACTAGAAAAAAGAAGTTATACCTCAATTTCTTCATCAATTTCAACCTCCTGCAAAATATCATCTAGAGTATTGATAAAGTGGTCTGCATTCTCTGTCGAAAAAACCATTGGTGGTTTCAATTTCAAAATGTTATTATCCGGTCCATCGCTGCTCACAAGAATTTTTTCATCTTTCATTCTAGACACGACGTGTTTTGCTTCAGCTGTAGCTGGTATTCTGCGCTGTCTATCACGTACCAGTTCGATGCCAATAAACAATCCAACACCACGTACATCACCAATTAATTTTCGTCGCATTTTTAATTTCATCAATTGGTTAAGTAAATGTTGACCAACTTTGGCAGCACGCTCTTGTAAATTTTCTTTCTCTATGACTTCCATCACTGCGTTAGCGACAGCACATGATACTGCGTTACCTCCGTACTACATAAATTTGAAGGAGTTATAAAAATTGAGTGCTCTATTATAAATATAACAATAATAATATAAAAATAATAAATCTAGAAAAGTGACTTGTTGTCAACTTCTCATGCTATAAAAAGATATTAGCTTGATAAAATTTTATACTAGAGGTAATATTGTCAGCATGCTTTGTTTTTATGTTGATAAAAGTAATAAAATAAAAAAGTGAAACTTCATTCTCACCGTGTTAAAGTACTCTAAGCCTGTATCTTTGAAACTTGCAGCTATCTCTTGGGTCGTTATAACTGCTGCCACGGGATGTCCATTTCCCATTGGTTTGCCGATCGTTACAATGTCCGGTATTACGTCCTCACCATAAAGCTGGAAGGCCCACATATGAGATCCAACTCTACCAAAGCCAACTTGAACCTCATCCGCAATACAAACACCGCCGGCGTCACGGATATAACTAAAGTGAGTATATTAATTAAATTACTATGTTTTATTTCTATTTTGTTTTTATCATTAAAATAATAAAGCTGGTAAAAAATTTGTCTAGGTATTCTGAACAACAAGTGGTTTTTAATTATTTTTGTTCAGGTCAATTGCTTGTTTTATTTAATTAATTATTTAATGAACGTAAAATTAAAATAAGAAGTTTTTCATTAAATTTCTACAAATTTTATTAATTAAAATAAAAAAATTTATTGAAATTGTATTGAAATAATTATTTTTTTTTAGAAAAGTAGTTAGAGCTAAAAATATTTTTCAAACAAATGAATTTCATTCTGAAATATTCAACAGAATTATAATATAAAAGTTTCATATACATGAATTAATATTAGAACTCAATAGGTATTGAATTTCTTTTTATTTACACTAAACTGATATTTAAAATTCCATCAGAATAGCTATTACAGGATATAAATATTTTTTCAACTTTTTATCATTTTTATGAACAGTTAACAATGTTATAAAAATAAAGTTCTATTACTTTTTAATTTATTGATTAAAAAATTCTCATTCGCAATTATTTTTCCCAATTTACTGAATATTTAATGAATTACTTTTTATCAGTTAATTCTGTAAATCCAATTAAAACTTTAAAAAATATTTACTTTTTACTGTATTTTTTTATATTTTATAAAAAATGTTAAAAATAAATAATCCACAATCTTCATAGTCTTTAAATTCAATTAAATCGACAAATTGAATCATCTTTAAGTATACTAACGGGAATTTGTACAATTGGAATCAATCAAATTTTATTTATTTGTGAAATAATTAAATCAGTAAAATATACTGAATAAGTCAGAGTATACACTAAATTGTTAATTAAAAAACAACTAACAAATGTTGATTAACTAATTATTGAAATTAATGATTTGTTCAATAACAATACATCATCATTTACAAATCAATATTATTTGAGAATTCTCTATAGAGAATTTATTTACTCTATAGAGTAAATAAATCAAAATATTAATAGTTAAAACCAGAAAATAGACAAAAAATAGACACATAAAATTAATTTTAAATATAAGTGTTTAGTCTTGTAACCAAACCTCAATCGAGACTTCAATCATTCTTCCATAATTTAAGAAATCTGTTCACCTTTTGAATGACGGTCATCTAGTAATAGTTTTACTTTAATAATAAATATTGTAATTTATAATAATGAATATTATTTTTAAAAAATTTTATGATAAAAAAAAATAAATTCAAAATCAGGTGTTGGAGGTTTTTCATAACTAAACAAATTCCTTAATTATTTGCAAACTTAATCAGGTGTTCATTTTGCAATTTTGTGTCGAATAAAATCGGCGCGAAGTCAATATTTATTCTTCACAAGATAAGAAAAAAGTTCACTAAGATATGTACACACACACATACAGATATCTGTCTATAGACGACAAATTTGGGCTTTAAGAATTTCGAAATATAGAGGTCTATTAAAATTTTAATTCTTTTTACATGGAGAGAATTTTTTCACTAAATGTAAGTGCAAAAATAACAAGCCCACGTTTCGAAATTTAGAAGTAAAAATATTTCTGTTCAACAGTGAATTTTGGGTTCTTGTAAGTAATTTTTGAGTTGTCTTAAATAATTCTTTTACTAAGACACTTTTTAAGTCTCAAGTTTACTTATAAGAACTCAAAATTTACAATCGAATAGAAATATTATTACTTCTAAATTTTGAAATGTGGACTTGTCACTTTCTGCACTCATATTTAAAAAAAAAAATTCTCTCCGTGCATAAGAGCAGATTATAAAATAAATGAGGTTCTTAGAAGTTAACTATTATTCTACTGATTTGCAGTGATTTACAGAACTATATTCATACAGATTCAATAATAGAAAGTGTGACTAATTAATTATCTACAGCTATGACTACTCACCGGTAAACATTTTTAAAATAATTCTTCGGTGGAATTATTTGACCCCCAACAGATATAAGTGTTTCAGCAATGAATGCACGAATTCCTCGTCCTTTTCGCTTAACATCGTCACAAATCCTCTTCACGTCGGCTGCGTACTTCTCTCCAAGATCCGCTTCCGGATAGTCTACGTCTCGATATTTTCCCCGGTAAGTGTCCGGACAAGGAGCCTGAAAGCCAGAGGGAAAATTTAAGGAGTGGATTTAGGTGCGTGCCAAGCCTTAGCAATCAGTGTTGCTATACTCATAGTAATAATCTTTGTGACGAAAATGAGAAAAGCTTTAAGCCCAAAGTATATAGAAAAGAAGAACAATAAAGAAAGAATGTAATAACGTATTTCGATTAAAATATGTAAAAAATATGAAAAAAGAGATCTTTACCACATGTACCCAGTCTTTTTTTCCGTTCTTGAGTTGATTAAACTTGTAGGGTGAGATATCGATCAATGAGGTCAAGTGTCCGTGATAAGCACTAAAAACAGAGGATTATACCTAGTGAGATATATTTATCGTTGGCTATTTTTTTTGTTTTTTTAATTCTTTTAATTGCATCATTGTTTATCTGAATGAATTATGATGTAACAAAAACTTTCTCTCGGGCCTGAAAATTTATCAAACCGGTTTAAATGTGTATATTTTTATATAGCATTCTACGGTATAATTCATTTCTGTGCGGTTCTTTCAGTTATTCTCTCTTTTTTTGACTTATTCATACGTCTCACGTACGTAATCTCGTGTCACCTAAAATGACAAGAGGATTATGTGGATGATAGATTTCCGCCAATGCGGAAGAAATACTCCAACTTCTTGGCAGTCGTTTTAGTAACAAGACGCGTAGCTTCCATCCTCTTGTGGCCGTGCCTAGACTTCAAGTATACTGTAAAAGATGAAAAAAATCCCGAAATATTAGTGAATATATCCATTCTTTCTTTTTTTCATACAAGTGCTTCATATATACATTTTTTTTTTTTTTTGAGAAATAAAACAATAATTCCAGGCCCAAGAAAAATAAATAAAAAATTGCTTACTGATCTAAAACCACAACTTCTTTATTTCCAGTGTGTGCTTCTGCAAGTCGAAGTGCTAAATCATTCGCTTCACTTCCGGAGTTGACGAGGAAGCATACAGAAAGAGGCTCGGGTAAGAGAGAAGTCAATCGACGAGCACAAATCACCAAATTGTCATGCAGGAAACGGTTATTGGTACTCAATAAAGCCATTTGCTCTTGACCAGCTCGCACTACTTCAGGATGACAATGACCAACTAAAAGAGTAAATAAAAAAATAATAGATAGATAAAATATCGTTATTTTCCAATACTCGTATAATGTTCCAAGCATTGATATTTATATTACAGTTGTATTCCACTTTATTACTTTATTTTATGATTTATATTATACTTATTGTTATGGCTGTCTGAAAACTATGACAATAGAACATTCAATTTATTTTTGAAACGTATATTATTACCATGAGCAACATTGTTGATACAGTCAAGGTAACGTTCTCCTCTTTCATCATACATGTATTGTCCACTTGCTCTGACTATCTTCAGGGGACTTGATCGATAAAAGAGCTTACAGGATTGTCTGCAAAAAAAATTACCAAAATGTCTTGAGAAAAATAATTCTCAATTGTTTTCACTTTATTAAAAATCAGCTAAATTGTAATATTTATTTTTAAGTCAAATAATTTGAAGATAAATCCAAATTCAATCTATATTTTAATCAATATTGACCATTTTGAAAAAGCTTGTAAACAGACTGCTATAAAATATTATTAACTATGTACATAATTTTCCTTGATGTCTAATTTAATATTACAGTCGGGAAACATTTCATTCAATTAAATATGATATTCTAATGTACACAATATATTATACACACGTATTTATGTTTAAAATATATATCCAAAAATCTAGTAATTAAGGACTCCAAAGATGGGTTGGATTAATAATATTAAGATAATACAAATAAAGTAAATTGAGTAAACTGCAAATTGAAAAGCATGAAGAAGTCACTGAGAGAAAGATAGTCTAAGAAGTGATAAGTAACACTGACATCTTGGTAAATTGATGGAAAAGTGTAAAGTTAAATTCTGAATTACATTTATCTACATAATTGAAAATATTTTAATATTAATTACACCAGTCTATTTTTCATAAAAATAGTTGATAGTTGAGATAATAATTGAATGGGATTTAAATGTTTTAGGTGGATAACTTTAGTTAGAAATGGTTTGCCCATCTTTATCCTCTAAAATTGATTCAGTGCATGGAAGGTCTATCTGCAACATTATCTGCTATGGAGAAGAGGTCATCAATTAGATAATTACCAAAACGAGAACTACATCGGATATATAAATTTTTGAAAAATATATGTATAATCAATGAAAAGCTAATCTCAAAGATACAAATCGTTTCAAAATTGGATACAAAATATTCTCAATTCATAAATATGATAAAAATTATGGATTATTTTAGATAAATTTCATAAATATTTAATCAGCTTGAATAAACTTGATTAAAATTTATTTTCTTGAGTAAACTCAGATTAAATGATTATTTCATGTCGTAATAAATTAGATGGTTTACTGAATACATTATTAAAAGAATCACTATAAAATATAAAAATGAAACTAGACTAAAAAACAAGTAATTCAATAATTTATTATTAAATGCAAAATTTCCTTAAAGTTGTGTAGAAAGTTACCAACTCAATATATGTACTGTGAATTTCTTAAAATATGTAAATATTTTATCATTGAATTAACTTCAACTTTATCAAGTACATTCACAGACAGTTTCACTTTCCACTTCATACTAGTTACCAAGAACAGCTCTCAGGGTCTAGTGTAGTTCACGTGCTAGTGATAATTTCCCTTGCGATATCTAGAAACGTGTGAAAATGTCTGCCAGCCACTAATGCAATTCAACCGTAGGTTTGAGTTCATTTCTCACAATGTGAGATTTTCCATCATCTATAAATCTTCTGACCTCTGTTACAATATGAATGAGAGAGAAGTGGACCAGCTATATTCACGAATATGTAAGAGTATTATTGACATCATGGCAATCGATGAATTATCATATGCTCGTGATATTTTATTATATGACCCAATTCTCATTATAGTGCGTGATAATATGCTGATTTGCGGCTCATATAGATCGATTAAACTGGTGTCATCGACGTTATCAACAAACCCGAGCAACGTGACCGATAAATTTTAGCAATCGTTTGCATCTATAATTTATACTTGGAATCAATTGAATAATCATTTCATTATCTTGCATAAATATCAACTTTTATTTCATTCCATTTGTTATCACATCAAAAAATTTTGCAATTCATTTACTGGTAACAAAAACCCTTGAATTCTTTTTGATTGACCATATTTTTTTAAAACATGATAAAAATATTGACTTTTAAAATTTGATAAGAGTTTGGATTATTAATATATGTGAAAATGTATTTGAAGTTTGACTTCAAGAATGTATCTAATGAATACTTAATGTAAACAGAAAAATACCGAGAGCAAATAATTTTCAGAAAAAACTGTTGACTTACTCTTTGATGAGTGAGTATTAAATGCAAGAGAAAAATGAATGATGAGATATAATACTTGGGCAAATAAAAATTTTTAAAACTGTTAGCTTTTGTTACAAGTATGTTATAATGATCGTACACCATTTGAGTCAACAACAGAATTTTATCGCTGATTCTTCTTTCAATTATGGAACATCATTTGAATTATTATTATTATTATTATTATTTACTTAACGAGTAATAAGAAGTTAAAAACTATTCTAACATACTTGCCATTGCTCTACTTAACGAGAACCAGAACTATAAGAAGACTTTAAAAATTCAAACTAGCTAGCTTACATTACTTCAACAATTAATAATTGAATGCTTCAAATTAATCAACTGCTCTATTGATTTTGATGTTTGATCTCATCAAAGTAAATTGATTCTAATCTCATGTAAATAGTATTATAGCATATTACTGTTTCAATAATAAGGACAGACTTGGTGGGTGATCTCCTTACATATAATATTATCTCATGGAATATTACTCATTAAAAAATATAAAAAATTGATTCTTTATTTTGAAAGATTACAAGTTTATCGTAGTTGATGTTTAAAAAATACTTATCAACTTCTAACATTCATCAACTTCACCAATTTCAAGTGTCAGATTAAATGTAAAAAAAACTGATAAATAACATTCTTTATTCTTCCTTGAAATTTCAAAATTATCAGTATGCATTTTTTTACACATTTCAATTTATTTAATAAGTGTCTGGAAAATCATTATTATGATTCTACTAACTATAAATATTTGTTAGAAAACAATGTAAACTTAGCCTAATATGTAATACTGTCATGAACAGAACATATATAGATTATCTATTCATAAACTTCAATAAGTACTATGATGCATCATAAATGAAAACAATTTCAATATTATTAAACAGTGTTTAGAATTTTTGGATTAGCAGCCTAATCATTGAACCTTATCTAATTCTATTACTCACCCAATGTGTCTCTCACGAAGTTTGATGGTATCATTCTTAGACATTTGCTCAAGTGGTTCCGTCATTGTAGCTCTAAAAAAATCTGAAAAAAATTTATGATAAATTAGAAATAGATAAAAATAATGAATTAGTAGAATAACTAAAAAAAAGATAATCGGTTGAATGAAGAGAAAAAAGAATATAACAATGAAAAAACAAATAAGAAAATGTCGTACTTGAGAGATCACTATGAAACTTAGTTGTCAATTGGATGCCCCGACCTGGTCCGATGATTTCATATATAGGGTCGCATTAGCGCTAAAAAAGCGGGGATCTGCGCGCGCATGTTCATCTCTTCTCGCTCTTCTATTATGTGAGAAATGCTTACTATTAACTACTAAGTTTATTCATTCGTATGTATTTAAGGAATGCTTATTCACAGAGTAAAAATTTTTTTTTCCAACCTTCAACTTTTCACTTAGCTGGCAGTGAAATACGCTTTTCTTCTATTTAAAACATACTCTCCGCCTGAAACTTTTATTCAATGAATTCTAACTATCCTAACGAACCTTTTATCAACTTTACATTTCAATTCGATAATCGAGCAATTTAGTTTATCGGTCAAATTGAATAAAGTACAAGTGACCTTACAAATTATTAAAGAATAGAACGCAATTGTAAATTTTTCTTTTTCCTCATGCAATGTGTGGGCTTTATTTTTACTGTTTATTCGATTAAGGGAATTTATTTGATAGTTTAGCCTGAAAATGGGTATTTCATCAATTGGCACGTAATAAAGAATCATTTGCAGCATAATGAAAGAAAATGGATGATAAGAATCGGAACTGCAAATAGTTCTGTTATCAAATAATCGAGGGTAACCGTGAAAGATTGTTACATAGTCACGTGAAGGAGGCTCGTTCTGCATGTGATCAGACTACGAGTCTATTTACACTTCATCAGAACCAATGGAAAGACCGATAAGCCGGTCAAATATATCAATGCAGAAAGGAAAAATTTCCTTTCAATTCCGGAATAAACTAGATCAACGCAAAAGTATCTTATCGGAAATTTCAATAATAGCTGAAGTTGATATTTCATCATACCAACCCTAATTTTATCCTCGATACTAGTAATCAATGATAATTTTAGATTTTTATAATTATTTTTTTATACGTTAATCTGTTATTATAACAAATGATGAGATTGTTTATTCATTGTAATATCAAGTGCTTTTATTTGTAATACACTTAAAAATAAAAATTACATTCTCATTATTGATACACTGAAAATAAAATTTATTTAAATAAATCAAATTCTTAATTAAATAATTGTAAGGATTTTTTTATTGATTCAATAAAATTACGAATACAATCTTAATCTGTATTAAATCTATAGGTATTAAAATGAAACATATACAGTGGATTCAGTACTGAAATTTTATCGACTCAATATAATATTTTTGAATTATTTTTTAAACATCTAAAGGTGTATTGAATTCTATCATTTATATATAGACTTTTATCACATTTTATATCTTTTATTTTCAAACATTTTGTTTGTTTTGGTAGTTATGGTTTAAAAAGAAACGAATTTTTTCAGCTTTGGTTTGAAAAAAGTTATTCATTGCGGATACATTACATTAATAGATTTCACAAATCTATTTAGTAATAAATTACGACTGGTCAATCAAATATTTTATTGACATTAGTAATTTTTTTTAAATATAATAAACAGATTTAAATAATCATCCGTTTCAATTTAATTTCATCGATTATATGATTATAACAAATCAATTTCCATAATTACAGTGTCAATTTATTTGTAACAAGTAATCTTCAATGAAAAAAAAATGTTTTTATCAAACACAAAGTATTAATTTTTTTATCCAGTTAAAAATATTTGATTTCATTAAATTTATAAAAAATAGGAGAAGGTTGGGTAAAATGGGACACCAAGAAAAAATGTAACTTAACAGATGTTAATAATTTTTAATGCATTAATAAATTGAAAAATTGATACACCAAAAGTGCAATAAGTATTTTTAAACTTATTTTAATAACTTAGTACATTTTCTCGAGCATTTCACTTTGTCCTTCCTTCCCTTATCTAAATTGATGGATTATTGATTATTTGTTTGAAAAAATTGAAATGGTAAATATTGAGAAAAGAAAAGTATTGCTCGTACAGACTATCAATAATTTAAATGAATACATATAAAGAATTTTTCCGTCTGACCGTAAAAATACCAAACTACTTGGTCATAGCACTAACTGTTTAACCAGATTGTAATTGATTTTATTCATCAGCAATTTGTTAACTCGTCCCTTGACTGTATGTCTGTCTACTTTTCGGTAAATCACAAGTATAGCTCGTTCAACGAGAGCACAAATATGTACATTCTACATCGCTTCGCTTTTCACATCAGTAAATTAGTGTATAGCGTACTGACACGTCAATTTGATTTACGAGCTCACTATGCTTTTTTACTGTCCCATTCAGATTTAGATTTTCCATTAAATCAGCTGTCGAGTGTCATACTATTTTCTCAATTGATTTTCAATTCGTTTTATTAATTATTGTGAGCAGTCACCAATTCAAGTCTCATTAATTTTACTAATTGATTTATATTTTACATATATTATTATTCAAGTGCTATTTAACCATCTAAATTATTAAAAGTCTTTTGTTCTAAAAAAAATACTCGTGTGATTTTTACCTCCTTGAGATGTTTATCAATTGTGATAAAAGCACTTGAATAATCGCAATTGTTGAAAAGAAGTAATAATTTATTTATGTTATTTACTTAATAGTTCATAAATCATCAAATTAACTTTAGCTAAAGTAAATTGAGTATTTTTCTCATACGTAATAAATCAGTCAATTTGCATCCATGAAATATATTTTCTGGAATTAAAAATAAAAATGAAATAATTTTTAATAAGTGAAGAACATTTTCCTTCATTCATAGATTCATTATTTTAGTCACGTTTTAACCATTTTATAATGAATTCACCTAGTGCTAAATTTTGTGGAATAAATAATTATTTTCATTTCATTTTGTATTCTTCTTGATAAAATTTATTTATATCTCTTCAATTTAGTGGATTTAAAAAAAAAATTATCAAGCGAAAATGTTTTTAACAGGAGAAGGAAAACTTAATGAAATTTTATTACACGTGCTTTCAAATGTGATTGTCATCATAAATTATATGTTGCACACGTGATGACGCTTACCAGATAGTAGAAATATTTTTTGACTCTACTTCATTGATATACAGTTGATTTAAATATTGAATCAATTTTCTTTCTGTTTATTTACAGATTAGTGACATCATGGCATATACCCAAGATTTAAATTAATCTCTTATAAAAATTTCCACTGACAAGAAGATTAAAAGTGTCACTTGTTTAATGTTATTTGTCAAATATATGTACTTATTACAAATAGATTAGATAACATGACTTTTTTTTACTTCAATCAGTAGCTAAATATTATGATAGTTATCGTAACTTTCATTGATATCAGTGATTTTGAATAAATCAGATTTATCAGAATAACAAAGATGTTGATTTGAAACAAAAAAAAAATAAATCGCAGTCGGTAGGATTCGAACCTACGCTCCCAGAGGGAATCTGATTTCTAGTCAGACGCCTTAACCGCTCGGCCACGACTGCTTCTTGAGATTGGTGACTTTAAATATATTCAAATTTTAATACCTATTCGTGTATCAGAAATTAACACAAATATTATTCAAATTTTTTACAATACTCAAACAATTTAACCGCATTATCGTTATGTTTTCATATTAAAGTAAAGGATACAAACATTTATAAATGAGAATATTTTTTTTTCATTATTTTGGTATAATTTTGTGTTTTTCATTATAATTCAATTTCAAGATCACCTTTCTCTAAATGAGGCTCAAAATTTGAAGATAGTCGTAATTCTGTAGAAAATAAGAGCATCAAAGCAAGGTAGAAACGTTCACAGAGATAATAAAAAATTTAAATGGAGCTCAAAGTAGAAAGAGAGTTGAAGGTTTAAATTTTCAGCGCTTCTACTGCACTTACTTTAACATCTTATTTTTTTTTTCATTTTGCAATTGTAAATTACAGCAATTTTAAAATAAGATTATATATATATTTTTTTTGTAAAAAATCCTTTTGATACAAAGATTTTAGAGTTTATCTTTTTCTTGAAATGGAAAGATAGCGTGCTTCTAAGCATATGGAAAGCCTTTTAAGAACATAGTACCGCTTTTCCTACTTTCCACTAACGGAAAATTCCGGAGTGACACGAAAACTCACGAAGTGCATGAAGAGCTCCTCATTCCTGATAGTTTCCGGATCATTATAAAAATAGAAAACAATTGAATTGGTTTATTTTTGGTGGATATTTTTTAATCAATAGTTTAAAAAAAGTTTACCTGCATTTATGTACACACAACAACCAAAAATTCCTCTGGTGAAGCTTTCAATTCATTTATCAATAATTTAATACAGTTAATTCAATTGTTAACTTTCAATCTAACATCTAAACTTTTAACAATACTCCCCACCTTTTTTTGAAGTAAGAAAAATATCTACTGACCTTATGAGAAAATCATTATTATCGACAGCTGCATTTTCTTGAATAACGTTGAAACTTGGACGTTTTTTTTTTTAAATTTATGGAATATTTTGAATAAAATATTCATACAGACAGACTGGAAATGAATTGATATGATTTAAGCTTCTAAATATTCACTTATTTAATAGAAATCATCACCTTTTTTCATTAACTTTTGCTCCAATTCACGAAAGAGCTTTCAAATACTTCAGAATTTATAAACTTGAATATTAAAAAAAGAAATATTACTAAACGATTATAAACTAAAATAAATAGAATAGTATGTTTATAAATAGATAAAAAATCGATTGATTTGCTATAAACATCTACGAGTTGAAACCAATGAACAATATTGAGGAATAAGAAGTAATAGTCAGTTATTAATTTTAAGTGGTCTATTAAAATTCACTCTGAATACGTTTGATTACATCAGCGATCGAATTTATAATTAAATTCATACCACAATATTCACAATAGGTGTTATAGCGCGTTTATTATTATAATTATCGTTATTATTAATATTATTATTAATCAGTTACTCTTTTTTTCATTTTTTTTTATGGTGAGTATAATGTATACATAATTATAGAGATTATAATTCATATGAATCATCAATTAAAATTAGCCATAAAATTTGTGTAGACTCATTTTTTATATTTTTTTTTCTTTTATTTCGCAAGAACGCAGAGTAATGCTTAATATTCTTCGGCTCGATATTTGAGTAATTAATTAAGTGACATTTTATATAAATATATTTTTATCACTAAATTTAAATATATTTTAAATATAATACATTTTTTTTATTTTTCGCATAATTTTTTCTTTTACCAGGAATATAACTGTAGTGGCAAATTTAAGAACACAATGATTTAAAAAAATATTTATAAAATACACAAATAAATAGTCAAATGTTGCACAGTCTTTGCACAATAGATATAAGTTGTATTCAATTTAATCATTATTATAAATTTAAATTGAATTATATTAATGAATGAATCGCACAATAAGCAGTTATTCCAGAGTTAATAGGTCATTTTCATTCATTTATTTATAAATGTTTCAAATATGTATTCGTTTCTTCTACGATACCTCTATTTTATTATCTCTTTATCATTATATTTAAATAAAAATATATTTAAATTTGGCTTATTAAGTACTCCGGTACAAAACAAAGGTGAAAACGTATTCGCTTTAATTGTCAAGTAATCCACTTCTTTATTGATGAATGCGATAAATGTATAATAAAACCGTGTGTTTATGTACAAATAAGCCAACAGAATGGAATTAATATATTTTTGGTAAATTCTGAATAGATTTATATAATTATGATGTTTAATCATATAATTGTGTACAAGAGGTAACATACGAAATGATAATATGCAAACATAACGAATATTATGATCATAAACATTGTATTTAACATAAAATGATTTCAAATAGATTAATCAATCATTATTTACTTTTTTCATTTTTATTTATTTTTTTTTTTTTTAATCTTATATTTTTTTGCCAAACTTCTTTTAAGTCTCTCTATATAATAGACTGAAGTGAATACACACTTGGGAGTGCTCGCGTTTCTACTCCAACTACACATAAATTTTTTATTTTGTCTTTAATTTCATTTTTTTTTTTATTTAGTATTATTAAATCTAGATAAAGCTCTAAATCATTACTATAGCCTTGCTGTTGCAAAGGATTCTTGTTTTTTTTTTCTTTCTTTCACGACCAAGTGTAAAAATAGAGTTCCTATCAATCTCATTTCATTTAATCTCTCTCTCTCTCTCTTTCTCTCTTCGAATTTTTTTTTTTTTGACTTTTTAATTTTTTTTTCACATTACTGACTAACTCGGGCAGGATTTTTTTTTCTTCGCAGAAATATATATGATTAATATGAATAGTAATATTAAATGAAATGAAAACAATATAGAAGTTGACAAATAAATGATGTTTGATGAAATACCTACTCAATTTATTTTCGGTAGAAACGCGAGTATAACTAGCTTATTTGAACTGTAAAATATAAATTTATTTATTAATCATGATTAGAAAAATCTTAAAGCGATGATCAATAAATGACTAAATTAAGACTACGAGTTTCCTTCACAAAATTTTGTTTTTTCTTGAGAAGCCAGCATTCAACTATGACGTTCTTTTTTTCTTTACCTGACTACACATAAATGACTAACTTTTTATCTAAATATTGGCTAATGACAATTTCAAGAGTATTACGACGTGATACATTCATCTTTATCTAATCTAGTCGAGGTACTCTAAAATTTAATCTATTTCAAAAATGCAAACAAACGGCAGGCTTGTTTTATTTATTTGTTTTTTATTTTTTATTTTTTTTTTGAAAAAATGATGTAATCAAGTAGGAATTCAAAGGATAGATGTCCCAGAATATTTTGAACAATATTTATCTTTTACTATTTTCATGAATATTGAGCAATTTCTATAAACTTAATATTTCTTTAATGTTTTATTAATTAATTAATTCATTAATTAACTAATTATAACTGCGATTGCGGAGGATCCAGCCAGCCTTATTTGTCGCACATTAATTCAATTATTACCAATATATCTACGTCATGTGACATATCACCAACAATTTTTCTTTTGCATTTATCCTATTGTTAAAAAAAGTTCTGTTAAGTCAACTTTATTGTTATTATCTTGTTTAAAATATTGTTAGATTATGATATCCACCATTTAATTTCCTGTTCGCACTGCAAACCAATTTTTATTTCAATTATATTAAAGAATGTATGGCAAAAGAATTAAAAAATTTATTAGTTATTATAATTTATTATTTAGAAAATATTTTCCTCATATGCTAAATAATCATTTTATTATCCAATTGTTAGTTAACTGTTAATTATTGACAATAAAACTAGAATAGCAGAAAAAATATCATTTCAAGATCGACAATAAGTTTATATTGTCTTGTAAAATGATATTAATATATAACTTAATGTGTTGGAATTGGATAGATTTTGACGAGGCACTGCTTAATGTTCAATAATAAAAACAATAACAATGCATATTTTTTATCAAACTTTACTCATGAGGAGCACAGCACCCATGTCATCGTAAATAAATCAATTCTCTTACCACTATCATAGAAACGGTTTGCTTCAATTATTTCAATATAGTTTTTTTTTTTTAAAGTTATATATTTAAACAAACCAATTATTTAATTAATGATATTTATTGATGCACAAATGTAAGTAAAGTATAAATGTTAATATTTGCGAACGTAGTAACAAGGATATTACAGTACCACCGACTAATTGCTTTTAATAAAAATGAATTTTTTTTTATGGATTCCCTTTATGTTTATAATCGAATTTTACTTTGTTTATAATCAATTAAACAATAAATGTAATAATTAATTTAGTATTTAGAGATAGGTGGCGTTAAATTTTGAGGTGATATGTCAACGTTCAATGTTACTCCTTTATTTATAATTCAAAAATTCAAATTATAATTAAATGTAAAATTACAGAGATCATTTTATTGATAGATTGTCAGGAATGACAAACGATAACGTGGTGCATAATTGTGCAGTATATGCATACGTTGTAAGATAAAAAATATTATAATTAAAATAATTGTTTCATCGAGAAAACATCCAAAAATACTGTTTTCAAGAGAAAATCATTATTACTTATGTAAATAAAAAAAAACAGTATAGACGAAAAGAAGATTGAATATAAAAAATTTCGATGTAATATCAAGTAAATATTTGTCCATACTTTTTTCTTGGTATGGCGATTAGTTATGAATTCATTATAAACCGCATCGTCACGATATAAATATTTTTTTTATTCACTTTTTCGTCAATACTAATTATATTTATATTATTCATGGTTTTAAAAAAAATTCAATCTAACTACACAAAAAATTAAATTTACTACCTAATTATACTAATGACAATGTCACAAGTATTACAAATAATTCATATGTCTGACTGACGATCGGTTTTAAGTCTGGCTATTATTTTTTTTCAGATTAATCTCTAATTAATCAATCTTGAAATCCATGTTTTGTAAGGTAAAGTGTAATAATTCATATTAAATTTTCTATGCACTCTTCATACTTGTACTCGATGCAGATTCATCATTTCTAATTTATTGACTCTGATATATATATGGCCAACATGAATGATCACATAAATTTTAATGTATCTTACGGAAACTAAAAAGTATGCGAGGGTAGTAACGATGATATTGAAATTAATTATGGATAATGTGTATCCTCAAAAATCTATAGAATGCGAATATTTCATATATATTTACATGTTTTCGTTTTTAATCAGGAAGCGATGCAGTTATATTTTATGCCACTCGAATCTCAAATCGTAATTTAAAGAAATAATTTGATGTATAAATATATATGAATTATGTAATTTTTCTGTGCTGCATACTATTTATTTTAAACAATTAAATAAATATGATTGAATCATGACACATTAAAGGCTGAATGTCGATATTTAATTCGTGAAAATATATTCAGTTGGTTAAAAGACAAAATCGAAATATCTCTAGCACTCAACAATATAATTGGAATGATGTAGATTATATAGTTAAATACAATTAATGTTTTGCGCATATTATACATTACATTTGCTGATCATTCAATTTTCAACAAAGCATCAAAGTTGTGCCATATTATATAAGAGTTGAGAGTATGAAAGATTATTACCACATAACACAGATTTCGTTCAAGTTTATTCCTTGTCTCGCAACCTTTATTGTATTTACTCGAACGCTAAATGGTAATTCCACTAGTAATTAAATTGTGGCGTTCTTGTTTTAGGGCTACATATCTAATATTACGTATGCCAATAATTTCATTTAGCTGAATAAAACTCATATGTATAAAATATATTCTTTTACAATTTAGGTAGTATTATGTTTTGACAGTATGGTATCTGTTAAAGAAAAGGAAGCCTCTCCTCGTCTAAAGCAAAACAACTTACGAAGAAACGAAACTATAATGTAAATGACAAAAGATTTGAGAGGCGTCAAACGTAACAATATAAATCAATTTAAAAAAGAAGCAATACAAGTCATAAATATGTTTATCGTCATTGTTAAAAAAAAATCATAACAGAAAAGTTTAAATTTCCGTTTTATATCATATAAATACAATAGTATGTTCTAATTGTAATATGTATAAGAATAACGGATTATATTGATTTATCTTCGACAAGTGTTTGCTTCTTCAAAGAAGATACTGCCTTCAAGTGTGAATGTGGATGAATTGAGATTAAAGAGATTGCAATAAGAATACCCATTGTCATTGATATATTGAACATTTCTGATAGTAGTATTGTGTTGTAACTTACGAGTTAAGGAATAACGCGAGATAAAGAATAAACATGAAAAAAATATCAGAATGTTAATAATTATTTATAATTATCAATTTGTTCAATGATCGTAATAAATTGAATATCTATTTCTTAATTATGCACGTAAATAGATGTTTTTGAAACAATGGGCTATTCTCCAGTATCAAATGCCACCAAGGCTGTTTAGTTAAATCTCAAATCTAATATGTTATAGTAAGATATTTATCATCGTTCAGTCATTGGAAACATTTGTCATCTAGTATACTCGAGAATCATTTTTGTCTATAAATTCTCATGCATCAAGTAAGTTAGATGCTAAAATGAAATGTCAATATCGACATAATTATGAGATTATCAAATTGTTTTAAAATATTTTGGCTAATTGATTAAAAAAATGAAATAAATTGAATTAAATATTAAAAAAATATTCTAAATTTTAGCATCATTGATTTCATTAAAGCCCATTGCGTAGAACTTTCACATTCAATGATACAGACTTATGATAATCAACTACGTTCTTCCCTAGCCTCAGCATTGCGAGGATGTGTAGAATTAATTAATTCCCGGTGTATAAAAGACATTGGTGGTGGACCACCATAATGAAATCTTTGTTGATGAGACGGCCTATTTAATACACAGGGAACAGAAATTTTGTCCCAGGCGAGCTCGTTGATAGTGGCCAGCCCGTGAACGTACGTAACGTTCTCGGGAGGAAGATGACAATGATGTTGAAATACGTGGGTTCTACGATGCGTTGGTAATGTTGAAGGAGGATGGAGGTAAGATGTAAGCCACCTCATGCCTGGCTCTGCTCTATGTCATTTGTTATTAACTTGCAATGCCGCATTTATTTGCGCCCACAGATCTTTGCTACACGCGGGAGATCTAAAAGGTATAATAATATAACATTAATAGCCGTGAAAAGACTTTTTTCGAAATAATTAAGCATAAAATATGAATTTAGTTAACCTTTTCATCGATTGTAGCCACTCCTTAAACTGTGTGTGACCCTCTGGAGTAATATGAAAAGCAGCTCGTGCTGCACACACTACGCTAGCAAATTCTTCATATTCAGCAGGCATCAAATGGTAGAGTTTATGATGCATACATTGAATATACCTGTGGTAAAAAGTGGAACATGATTTTAGCGTTTCTTTTTTCATTCTATTATCGAGAACGTATGTATTAGTGATAATCATTCGATACTTACATTTGTTGACACTTATGAATAATTGGTGCTAACAATGCTGATCTCAGATGTTGTAGGAATAATGCAGGGTTACTTCGTGAATGATAATTAGCCGCTTCTAGAGCAACATCGTGGAGAACAAATGGACTGACAATGCTATTCACAGTGCAGATACAAAGCTGGTGGAAGCACTGCGAACCTAATCGTTTGGAAATTCTCAAAAGCCATTTAACATCTTCCCCATAAGGAGGATTTCGTGCGTACTTGGCTTGTGGTCGATCGTCATGAACTCGTCGAGCTAAAGTTTCTAATGCGAGCATACCTACTCTGTATGCAGCAACAAGTGCACGCAATTGTTGTTGGCTAAACGGTTGATTCTGTCTATGTACCTGCGGTTGAGGTCTTACTGTCGACATAATAGACTGAGGCTGTACCATTGAAGGTCCTGGCATACCGTTGTGTCCAGGAATAGGTCCAGCAACGTCTTGTGGAACGTTAATTGGCATTGGCTGTTGTATTCCAAACATATGATGAGATCCCGGTGGTGGATGTACATTAACAGTTGTAACAGACGGTTGAGCATAATATTGCTGCACAGGTGGTGGCTGTGTGACGGGTGGAGGATGACGTGGATGTTGCGAATGGACGGGATGAGGTGGCATCGCCGTGTGATACATCTGCATATGTGGAGGATTGGGTGGTAAAGCGACCCGATGGGGTGGCATTGGTCCTCCGAATGCTGGCATCGGATGATGTGCATGGACGAAAGGATAAGGTCCTACTGGATATGGTAATCCTACACCCGGTACAAGAGTGGTAATAGTAGGGTGAGGAGGATAAGGTTGAGGTGGTGGTTGGGTGCTGGTTACAACAACGGCTTGCGTTGGTCCAGGCATCATTTGGCCAGTACTCATTTCTACTGGTCCAGGTCCAGCTTCAACCAAAAGTGCTCCATTAGGATCCAATTGAAGATGATCCGGAATATCGTCATGTTGTTCGCCACCCGGTGTATGACGCTTATATAACTCGTACCAATATTTTGCCACTTGGAATAATACCTCCGGATATACGCCACCGCCTTTAGCTGTATTTTCTACAGTAATACATGCTTGTTCAAGCATAACATCACTCTGTTCTTTGCACTAAAAAAAAAAAGAAATGTTGAATAAAATATTTTACTATCTAAATGAAATAGCTTTTTCAGCAGTAAATATTGAGTAAATACCTGTAAGATGGCTCTCTGAATTTCATTAGGATTAAGTGCATGAGCGTGAGGTAAACAAGAGAGTGCCAACTCGGCAGCTGCTCTGATCATGTTTGGATCACTTCCTCTGGACGATTTATCAGCAATACTAACAGCCTCAGGTGGTGTTAGATGGCCCTCCCAACTATCTATGAGAAACCAAATAGCCGGGGCACCTATTTCCATTGCTTGACCAGTAATCCATGATACATGACTTGAGTATGTACGACTCAGCCAATTCGGACTGACACAATTGTGGAGTCCAAGCGCATACAGACCAATTTGAAAGGCACACATGTGGAGCGCACGATGAGGACCATGATGATTTTGATTAGTTGAAGCTTGAGTAAATAACGATGTTGAACTATTGCCACCAGCTTTTTGCAACACAGTTTTTGCAAGTTCACACATAAAATGTGCTCCAGCTTCAGACGGTTGGTTCGGAATTGATGGGTAGACCTTCTTATTTTTGTACCTAAAAAAATGAAATCAAGAGTTAAATCATTGTCAATGAAAAAATATGTTTGTAATGTAATTTCATTCTTCTCTTGCCTGCCTAACCTCGTTTCCTTAGTTCTTGTAGAAACAGGGGGTTGAGCTGGTTGAGGTTGTACTGTTAATGCACTTATACCAGCTTCTAATTCAGCGCTGGTGCTACTATGAGGTCTGCTACTAGTACCAGCGATTCCATCGCCACTACCACTTGCATCAGTACCAGCTAGAGGCGATGAGCAAGTTTTAACTCGTCTAAAAACTATCTGGTTTTTAGTGGTTGCATTCGAGATATAATAACTACTGATAATTGGAGACTTAATCAATTGATGAATATCACGATCCAGTAGCTTGTCCATTATCTTAGCAACTTTTGTAGGCTCATCTTTGTAATGAAGAAGTAAACTAACAGCCAAATCACCTCTTTGTCGTCGTGTACCTTCACATAAAAGTGGATGATCAGCTTCACTAACGTTCGCCTTCAATCCAAGTGCTGTAACAGCTGCATCAAATCCTAAGTTTTCATCCTCTTCGTTAGTGAATGACGACCATTCACCCTTTATTTTTACAGTATTTAACGAATCAAATATCAAACTCGCTAGCGTAATTGGCAGTAACGCATGGCCTCGCGACCTTAGAACACCATCACGTAGTTGTTCAGCACGCTGACGAAGCATCGTTATTTCAGCTGGTCCAAACGGGATTCTTTTCAACAGTCCTACAAGCTCACTCTCTTGATGTGCTAATTTTACTTCCAAAGGTTTGGTGCTCGCTGGTGGTCGCGCCATTTCCAAGCCAAATAAACCGACTCTAAATGCAAGATTGTGATGTTCAGGGTTTTCTGTTAAAACTGTACATAAAAATGCACACTTGGCAAGTGTCGCAGATGCCAAGCAAGTGAGTTGATGTGAGGCAGGATTTACTGGTTGTTTTTTCCTCTTACCCTTCACTGGAACTGGCGGCACTTCTATCATTAAATCTGGTGGATGCGACAGAAGCTCTTCTGCTAGTTCAACACCAAGGATACATGCCTCTCGTGTATGTCCATGTGCATACAAACCTTCAGCTCTTGCGAATAAAATGTCCCATGGATCTTCTATTTTTTTGAGATTACTTAAAACAATTCCTGCATTCGTACCACGATTTGTGTCATTTTTGGAGTCTTTACCTTCAGCTGTACTTATATTCGCTACAGCTTTAGGGTCATAATAATAATAATTATATTCATCACCTGATGGACTGTCACTACTAGATGACGAACTTTCGTCCTTGGATGGACGACGTGAGGGATCTTTAGATGAGCTACACTCGTTAACACGTTTATTAGATGATTTCGTCGGATTCAAATTCGATGATGTACTCGCGACTGGATCGTGAAGATCTTCTAATTCTACAGCGATGTTATTGCTAGCATTACTGTTGTTATTACTAGTATTATTATCGTGATTATCAGAATTTTCGTTAATATTACTATTTTTATTATTAGTATTATGGTCGTTATTTGTTCTAATACACTTGACTTCGCTAGTAACTTTATTATTACTACTATCACTACTATCACTGTGCGTCTCGGATGAGGCGTTTGAGCTTGGCTTATCCGAGCCTTGAGCGTTCTTCAGACTCACATTACTATTTGATGATGATTCACTGCCCCCGCCCTCTTGTGAATCGGTATCACCGCCGCCACCACCACTGCTACCACCATCACCACTGCCACAGTTATGCATTTCACTATATTCACGTTGTACTAAAACAACTTGCGATGGTAAAGGAAATGATGGTAAATTCGGTAAATCTCCATCATTCTCACAAAATCCCTCTGAACTTACGCTACTACGATTACCATCATTTCCCGTGTTGTTTGCAGTATTTCTTGAACAAAAACCAGAAAATTCACGTGAATTTAGTCGCTTGCGATCCATATAACTAAATTCGACTAGACCCATATTATGTGGCCGCCTGTTGTGATGGTGAGAATTCGGTGGATTACAATTTAAAACAGCAGCACTTGAGTTTACCTGATTCACTTCAGTTCTAGTGTCTCCAGCGTGACGGAAACAAGTGAATGGACAATGATACATTGGGTTGCTGCCAGCCGTGTAAGTTATACCAGGTAGAGAGTACTCATCCCAATCAAGATAGCATGCTTCAAGTGCCGGCTTGAAACCTGTGAAAACTTCAATATCTGTTTTAAGTGAATCTTTCTGAGTTCCTCCATGATTCCGATTTTGAGTGTTGTGGGATACTGAGCCTCTATTTTTCGTGACTTTATCAATGACCTTCATATGCCACGCAGTAAACTGGCCTCGAAGCATTTCACGTTCTGAGGGAGATAGGCCAGGATTCAAGGCAGCCAGTCGCCAGAGAACAACTATCTCATCACATAGAGATGAACAAGCATGTTGAGAGGCGTGTGCATTACTGTTCATACTACCGTGTTTACCACCGCCATGACCTGTACCATTTAGAAGCGCCACTTTTGTATTAAACCACCAAACTAAGAATTGTTCACATGCCATACACTCCTCAGTGATGATCTCCAACAAAGGAATAGCATTGCGATCAGTGCGTTTAAACATCTCTCTCACGATTGATAAAAGATTCCACATGCCCTCAGGCTCGCGACCTCGCAGAGGTCGTAGAAGTGATGACCATTCAGTTGCTGCTGGTGGAGCAGTTGTACTCAAATAATTTACATCACTGAACACCATTGGAGCAGGCACGCAAAATTTGATGAGAATTTTTTTGATGTTTCCATGAAGAGTTTTTTCATCAAGATACCATGATGTTTGATCATGTGTTGATGCCCCTGCTGTTGGATCTGGAGCGCCACAGTAGCTATTTATTGCGCTTGGTTGACTTGACAATAATTCATCTAGCAGGCGTTGGGCAGTGGGTAATATCTGCTGTGGTAATTCGCTGATGAGGTATTGAGCAAACTTCTGTAGTTGTTCGCGATGTAATCGAGACAATGATTCGCTTACTGGTGCACGAAGACATACTTGAGTTGGTGAATGAATTCTGTGTAGACAAACAGCTACTACATGAGAACACCAATAAGCTGTCGAAGAACAGGTGCAATTGCAAGATGTTATCCTACGACGATCAAACGTTACCGCAACATTGAAAAGTGTTTGGGAACCTCCCGATGTTGTACACACTTGGACATTTACACTTGCACTCAAGTGGAAACCTACAAAGGAAAGTTATGCACATAGGATTATATATTGTTCATCATTTAAGATATTTGAAAAATTTTTCAATTACCAATTTGTAAGGGATCTTTAACGCTCTTCGAACGGAATAGATTTTCACCCCGCTGGAATTCTTCGGCACTGCCGTTGGCCAGACATGAGTAGAGCCTGATGTCTTCCTCGTTGTCAGGGAAACTCCAAAATGCAATTCTGAGCTGGAGTTGTTCCGGAACGGGTGGATAGACATGCTCAACCAGTTCGAAGGGGATATGAGATGCAACGCATCTTGCTGCGAGCTCGCACAGCGTTGGTACCACTGTTTGTCCATCTGTAATTAAATTTACATTTTTAGCTATGCTGTCTTATAATTTTTTTTAATTTATACATCAAATAATTATCATAATTAGTAAAAAAAAGGTTTTCTAGATGGAGATTTTAAAATATGCAGTTCAAAACTAATTTAATTAAAATTTTTTTGAAATCATCATGACAAGTAACTCGAATAAAAAGTCCTCAAACAGAATTTTTAAACAGATTAATTAGTTTTTTTACATGTCATAGATATATCAACAGTTGTCTACAGCTTCATCGTTGATATTGTATAACTTTTTTACTCATGATTTACCAGATTAAAGTAATATTTTTTATTTAAAATAATGTCTATGTTAATTCTATGTTGTCTTGTCGAGTGTGCTTTTTTATTGATTATAGCTATGAAATAATTATACCTAAATGGTATGCTAACAAACTAAACATCTAACTTTAATCTTTGTTTATGTTTTAGATAATACCCTTCGTATTGTAGAAAATTGGTCAAGGGAACAATTAAACGTATAAGTATTTACTATACTGCTAAAATTGTAAATTTTCGTAAAAAGATAAGAAGAACAAAGTACTGCAATTAGAGATAAGTTAAAAACGTATTTCGTGATAAAGTTTCTGAAAGTGTGGTGTTTAATAAATAATTACAGAGTAATTGTACAATGGATTCAAGAGATGAACATAATTGACAAGGGAAGTAAGGTTCTGAGCAAGTTATTAAAGAAATAAATTCTTTTGTTGAATAGAAATAATTTTTCTTCACATCATAATTGAAAAGAAAATAATAATTACAACCCCTACACATTGATGCTAATACTTTTTCACTCGAAATCAGCTTTGTTATTTCTTCTAAAGTGTTGAAAGATTTTTTAAAAATCAATTATTAATGTAATTATTTTCACAAACATGACATTTCATCTAAATTATTTTTTAATAAAGATAAATTTCTAGTAATTAGAAAAGAAAAAATTAAAAAAACATCTTAAACTGATTCATCCTGGATGGATATTCACACTTAAGAACAAAGGCTTGGCAACTAAAATCAATAGAATCGATTACAAATCCTCAATAAATCCATCAGCTATTGATTTTCTCCAAGGAGACTAACGTAAGCTTCCAATTTTAAATTCCTTCTCCAATTCCACTCTGCCACAATATTTTTCCATTCATTAGGGTAATGACAAAGGAGAGCAATAAATAAATTCTTCAACCTTCAATGAGTGAAAAGATAAATGCTAAAGCTAGTGCGATTTTAAGTGAAAACGAGAATAATGTGCAAAATATTTGCAGGGCGGAAACGAATTGCCATAGTGTTAGAACTCGCACCAGCTCACTTGGGAAATAATGGTTCTGGCCTTTTCGCCCGGGAAAACGGCGCCAAGCAGTAACGCGTAATCCCAGCCAGTCAGACTGAAGCATAAAGGAAAGGGAAACATAGTAGAACTACCGGGTAAATCGCTACATCACGAATTATTCGACATGAAAACTACTCAACAACATAACGTTCATTACAATGAGTTCCACAGTATTGCAAAAAGGTAGACCAAACTATGCTATCTACTTCCTTTCATACTTCAGGACTTTATTAATATTTCTTCATTTAAGAATTTAAACTAATTATTAATTATTGAATAATAACCCTTTTGTGTCACTCATAAATACCATTGAAAAAAAAAACGAAATAATATTTGCATAATTATTATTGATAAGTAAACAAATGCATGTTACATTGACAAATAATCAATATTTTTGGAAGCTATTTTAATGAAAAGCAAAAAAAATATTTTAATATCTCTCAATACTTTCTTAATTGTACTTGTAAGGAAATTCTACTGTTGACAAAGTAGTACATCCAAATTTAAATAAAAAAGCATGTATGTGATAAGCAGTATTTACAAAGTAGATGAAAAAATTCGAAAATTCTTTTTGAAAAATAAGTAATGAATTTTAACTTTGAATTATTTAAGCTGGTATTCAACAGGTATATTTTGAAAACACTTTGTTCTTAAATCTGTTAAGTACCTGGAAAGTTGAATTTAACCCAATGGTAATAAAAAATTTTGTAATAAGATTATTAATGTTCTTCATAAATTTTCAATAAATACTCTCCATTTATATCTCACATACTTTGACAATAGTTTAATCCATTATTTTTATAATAATAATTTTAATGAATAATTATTCAATAAAACCACAATAGGAGATTTTCCTCAGTCAATTTTTTTGATCACTATATTTTAAATAATTGTATTATTGTGTTTATTTTAATTGTTAATAAATTATCCAGCACTAAACTGCATAATTATAAATATCTATGAAAATTTTAATACCTAAAAACATTCTAAAATTACAATTGTAGATTTTTGGATCTAAAATTAAGACTTGATTACAAATTTAATGATAAAAAATGAATTTGCAGATACTAATAATTATTTGCAACTTACTAAAGTACATTTATTTAAGTTAATGAGAGAAAAGTAATCTAATTTCAATTAAATAATATTCGAAGTTGAGAGATCTTTGTCTAAAAAGCTCTGAATAGTTGAAATTAAGAAATAATAACGTAAATTGTAATAATAGTAATTAAGTAAAGGAAACTTTTTAAAGTAAATGAGTCTCGTAAATTGATTTAAAAAATTGAAAAAAAAAAATAAATGGGCTTTTAATTAAGTTCAAGTTATGGAAGAAAAAAAATAGAATAAAAAATTTATGAGTATGTAATGACATTGACTAATAATTATTCAAAGTACTTAACAGTTTTAATTTTTACTATAATAAGAATTCGATCTTTTCAGTGGTTAAAAAAACATTCTTTTCCGTTTTTTCTTTTTAATAGAAGAGATAACATCACAGAAGTCCATTAAAAATCGAACACTCTCTAGTGAAAAATAAGCTGCTATCGAATGATGTTTTTTACTCGATTTTCTTGCTCTCTTTCAGCAGTTGGCGTCAGATGATTGTAAAGTTGTCGAGGAAAATAGCACCAGAAACGAAAGATCCTAGAAGCAATCCTGCAAGCTATGAAGTGACATTTAGATTAGAGCGGAAATGGATGCAAGAGATGAGGAGAAAACGAACAAGAAAAAGACAGAATGTCAGATTAGAATATGCCAACCCGGTAATTGAGACAAGGCAAGTTTTAATGACCTACTTGGCTTCTTATTTCTCGTCTTAACTTTTATTTGAGCACAAAATTTTTCCGACATTTTATTTACTTTTTTCGGGCTGTTCATATTAATGTTTACTTCAACTGTGAAAAAAGTTTTTGTACTTTCTGAATTTGTTTACAGATTGTTTTATTTAATAAATGAAACACTTTAATTCCTTTTTTATTTCGTAAATTTTAGTTGAGTATTCCTGAGGTGGAAACTTCTTTTTTTCCAGCAGAGATTTCTTCTTTTGAATTTTTTTTTTGTTTTTAAATTCTTTCGAATGCTTCATTAAAAAGTTACTTTAGGTAAAGTTGTTGAATAGTCTAGAGTTAAGATTAATCAAAACTCGAAAAAAAGGGATGAGAGTAATTATTTTGGAAATATTCTTATTACGTTGGAAATTTTATCAAAGGCAAATAACAACATTGTTTGTAAATAAATCAACTGTTTATAAAAAATAAAATAAAATCGAAATTACTTCTATATAGTGGAAAGCTAAAGTGGTTTATTTTTGGCTCAACATTGATTCAAGCTTGAATGTGTTAGATCCAATGTTGGTTCAGTAATGTTTCAATTTTGCTTTCTATTAAGGTAATTGAATCATTATCATTCAATAATTTTTTCTTTCATTAAAAAGTCCTTTATTGTATCTCTTTAAAAGTAATCAACTGAGAATTTTTTGCTTAAATATTTCTTTATTATTTTCATTCTTTCCAAGTAAAAAAGTGTTATCAAGTTGCTTCAGACTGAAACTTCCTTTTCAGACGACTGCCAAAAAGACGACAACAGTACAATTCCAAAAAAAGTCAAGATCAAATAGGAAATTTTCTTCTTTAAATGTACGTCTGGTGAGAAATTTTAATGCCCGAAAGAGTTTGGAAAAACAAGAAGCATTACGCAAATGAGAAGAAGCTCCATACTAGTATAATAAAAACTCAAGAATATGAATGCACTTCGATTGCGAATGAACAATGGGTATTCCACTCAAATGATCAAAAATAAAATAAAGAATTGAAATCCATTAAGAAAAATATAAATGGAAAAACAATTATTTCTACTCTATTAATCTATTGATGGAATTTTTAATGAAATGGACTGAATTATTCTTGAATAAATATGGAAATAATTAAAGAGTCTAGATGAAAAAACATACTAAATCAACAGTTTTTTTGTTAGTTTTATTTTGGCAATAAACAGTACAGAGCATACTTGATAAATTTGTTTGTGTATTTTTCTGTAATAAAACTCATAAATAAGAGTTATACAGATATTGTATAAAATGCAGAAAAAAATAAAAAGATGAGTAACGACACTAAAAAAAATGTACACTTTTTTATTTTTCATCTTCTTCTTTGCCTTTTTTTCACTCACAATGAATATGCAAAGCTGAATAGAATAACGATGAATACTATGGTCTTCGAATACACAAAATGATTTTCACACATCAACCATGTAATTTATTACATATGTTCGATGGACAATGACCTATTCAACATAAAGAATACACCAATGTTATTCACAGAATAAATTGATTGACGAAAAACATTTTTAATTCATGTGATATCCAAAAGTAATATTTTTTGGTAATCTACAAAGATAAATATTATATTGAGTTAGACAACAATTAGACTACTGTTAATTGAAATCCATGAATTAATTGGTAAGCAGAGGCCAGTTAATTAACCACAGACTCAAAAATTGTAATATATATGAATTCTAAATTCATAAATTGATATGAGCAAACATGTCTGACATTAGATCAGATTTCCTTGAAGCTTGCTAATTAACGAAGCTTATCGTAGGACTCGTGCCAAAACTCACTTTTTATTGACGATGACGAAGAAATAAAAGCAAA